CGTGTTGATATGTTACACAGAATCATTGCATTGAATTATCACTTGTTCTCCTTAGATGATTCGTAATCGGTCGTTTAAAACTTTTTTTTGTTGTATCAAGCAGCAACATTTTCAGCGGATCGTTGAACGATGATGCGCTATGGTTGTATTTTGCTGTTCGTCTGCGTGATCAATTCCGCTGCAGCCATCTTCGGTCAGAATCCTTCAAACTTACCGTTCACGGTTTTCGGAAGACCAGCTGGAGGCTTCTTGAATGTATGTTCTCGTTTCCTATTGCTCTGAAATAAAGCATCAAGAACGTACCGTGCGATAAACATGGTTCTGAAATTACAGCCAATGTTAAAGGTGTTTTGTTCGACTTCACGATGATCCTGTATCAATGTGTTTCCGATGAATGTAAGGTGAAAAATTACAGGTTGTACGTAGAAGAGGTGGTCAACAAACCGGAGGAGAAGAGAATACACGCGAACAAACGACATCTTTCAATGATCTCGTACAAACGTTCACAATCACACAACCGATTGAGCATGGGAATGCATCACTCGGAAAATGGCAACAGGTTCTGCTTTTGATTTCTCCGACCAAAACTTATGGCGTCTGCATAATAATTACATCAAATTGTCCTCCTCTGTTTCTGTGTCATCATATGGGAAGACGAGAATTACTCTTCGGAGACCTCAAGTATGAAGAGCACTTGATATGAAACAATACTGATGAGTTCAATCAGTGGCTGTTATACAGCTGTAAGTGGGCAAAACGTTCGAATATGCCACATAATCCCCATCTGTAATATTCACAGTAAAAGTGTAATCAGTGAAGAAATGAGCAACTGCAATCACAAGCTATTTGCGAATTGCAATCCCTTTATTTACTGGGTAGGCAGTAGACATTGACTGAACAAATTGATGTTATCAGGAGAAAGTAGAAGTTAACACTGTTGAATAACAACAATCACTAAAAATATGCATTAGCTGTTCAGTAGGGAACGAAATTTCCAGTGCCAATGAATAACATAAATAACAATCACAGCAGTTCTGCATGATGCTTGAATGAATGGCTAATGCTCTTGTACTAAACGACTCACATGAAATTCATCGGTGCTTGCATAATTTTAGAGAGTTCAATACAATCCAGCCTTCTACAAGAACAAAGAGGTGATCTTCCTTATGATCGGTGGCCAATCACCTATATCACAGAGCTGGGTCTCAGATCCATCACTAACATATCTGAAGTGGGCTAAGCAATACGGTGCAGCAGTTTTCCAGTTAGAACACAGATGCTTTGGTCAAAGTCGACCATACAAGTAAGTGATTCATAGGATACAACTGAGCGAAGTACGGTAAGCAGTGGAAAATCGGAACGTTCTGAGTTCATGACATGGACAATATTGACCATTTACTAGAGAATGAGGAAACTGTAAAGTTTTACCAGAAATATAGCAGTAACACTTTCAGCAATTTGGAACTGACCACTCTAAGGTATTGCACCGTTGAACAAGCTCTTCAAGATTTGGCGAATTTCATACGCCAAATGAACGTGAAATACAAGTACTCTAAGCCAAAGTGGGTGACTTTCGGTGGATCGTATGCAGGTGAGTCGCATTTTTAACGTCAGTAAGGATCACGCAAAAAAGATTGCCGAGAAATGATTCAGCGCTTTCGAATCGCCTTCTTTGATGCTTTCATCACATAACACTGATTGTCAATGAGTTGTGTTGAGATGCTAATTTCTCGTTATGATCATAGGTACGCTGAACGCTTGGTTTCGTCGAAAATATCCACACATGACAGTTGGTGCTGTGGCGAGTTCTGCTCCTCTCACTCACTACTTGGATTATTTCGGTAGATCATTCACTATTCCTTACATCCGACAATCAGTTACAATAAACTCTTGCGAAAAACAAAACCTATTTCAACGGCTATTGCCAAAATAGAAGGCATATTTGCTTTTGCTTATAGCAATGGATCGTTTGCTGAATGAAAGTTTTTTGGAAAATGTGTCTATGCGAGGTGATCGAGTTTCCTTCATCAATCATTCCAAAAAATTTTGCCCACAGTCAGCTCAGCTGAATCAGAACGTGGCAATATCTAGCCGCATATATGCTTCTAAAGACACCGTTTAAATGGATCATCACTTTTGTTGAGGTTATTCGAAGATAATGGAGAAAGTGATTCGAGACACAAGTGCGAGTTGCCATAATCAAGTTGGTGGGGCGATACAGGTGATACTTAGTAAAACATTTACAGCGAAGGGCCGTAACGAGCTGAGTGAAAAGCTGAGGTAAGCAGAACATTCGTACAAACAAACCACTATGAGAATTAATTAAATAAGGAGTATCATGGTTATAATTGAGCAGAATTCACTTCGATACTGAACAGAACAATTCATGTTATGGATTTTGATTAATTGACATCCCATCAACTCATTCTTCTTCACTTATGAATGGCTATTCGAATTCTGAGGTTGCATCAATACACAAGAAACAATTCCGCAACTTCTCCATATGCCTCTTTGGTACCATCTTTATGAGCGACACCGTCTTCACTTTCACTTTGCTAATTTTCACCAGTTTAAGTCGAGTTTGAGAGAATTTTAGCGCTTCAGTAGTTTAGCTAACAATAAGCTTGAAATCAGTGATAAATTAACGATAATGCTCATTTGAGATTGGCACCAGCATTCAATGAGACAACGCTGACAGTGAAAGATATTCATCACCTCATGGCATCCATATACGATCTATTCCAAAGCATCGTTCAGTATTCATATGATGGAAAGGTAGAAATTTCGGTTCATCAAACAATGTCCTGGCACAACTGAAGGCTTTTTTTTGCTCGTGGCTGGCTGTCTTCGATTAGCGTCCATGTTTTTTTTTTAACATACTGAGTAACTTCAAAACATCGACTCAAAAAGTTTCAATATGGTGCGATTCATAA